ACAGAGCAAGTGAAAATGACCCCTATTGACTGGATCCAGCTGTGTGTCACGCTCTGTGAGTCTCTCCCAATTCACTCTTTCAAGTAAATGAATGTGGTAAAAAAAGGATAGAAAGTCAACGGAACCTTTTTTTTTTCTTCTTCTTCTTGCTTTCTATGCTGTGGGACCTTCTCAGTCATAGCCCTTGTTTTCAGAGCTGAAAAATATGTTTATTTGCTCATTAATTTCCTTCTCTCTCCCTTGCCTTTTCTTGGCATTAGGCAGAATGTTATTTAAAACAAGACACAGTTCAGCTTCAAAAAGAAAAAATCATTCTGCAAAATACAGCTTGGACTCATTTACTGGTCATTTATCATCGCTCAGGGAGTGGGGTACAAATATCTATATTTGGTATATTTTAATGATTTACAGTGTGGTTACTCTTATTGGCACCAGTATATAGGGAAGCAGCAGGCTCCTTAGGACTTTGAGAAGTGTCCCAGACTGTTTTGAAGTGACATGGAGAATATTAAATGTGGCACATGCAGAGCAGCTTGATAATCATTTATCTTCACTGCTTTCCTTCAAATATGATGGCAGCTGATGTTTAGAGGGTAAACTCAACCCAGAGGCCTGAGGCTTTTTGAGGGAGACTCTCATCCTTCATTTCCATAGGTCAGAGTGTATTTTTTCTCACCAGTGCTTTCAAAAAAGCTTTGTTTTTATGTATCTTCCGTTTGCTTTGCTTCAGACAGTGGGCAGGTAATAGTGTGCCTAGTGAGGTGCCTGGCACATAGTCAAGACCCAGTAAATATTTGTCGGGTGAATAAATAGTTAAATGGAATGTTATTAGCATTGCTAGTGTTATTGTCTTGGCATAGAACATGCAAGAACAGACTTGAGGCAATCAAGTAATTTCCCTTAACAGTACAAGCTAATTATTTGAGAGATGAAGATCTGGTGCATAGTATTTATTTGTCAGGCTCCATTTGCTCCTAATTAAAGGGGGAAAAGTTGTTTGTAGCATTGAAAAGACAACATGATGATGCCCCACTCCCAAAGAGCTTTTTCATTTTCCATGCCTCATTTTAGGGAAAATATATCAAGAGGAAGTTAGTGTGCATTCATTCCTCTTATTTATTATTTGTGTTTTCTTTTTTTTTCTCTCTCTCTGTTATTGTTTTCTAGAGGGCAGGCTGGGTGTGGAGCCCGAGATCTTTTGATAGTGCTTTTATAGCCCATCTGCCCACAGGCCTCCTGCAGTTGATTGTCCTAACCTGGCTGACCAATAAAATCATGTCCCCGTACAAATACCACTTGCAGCGACCCAGGACAAAAAAAATGCTGCACCCCTCATCATAAGCCTCAGAAGGTTTCATTCATTCCTTCACATTTCCACTCATCCATTCCTTCCAAAGATATTAATTCCATGTCTAATATGTACCAGGCTCTGTGCTAAAGCTGGGAAATTAACACTGAGCAAAATCCAACCTGGTTCCTGTTCTCCTGAAACTTATGATCTGGGATGATTGATGGATATTAATAGAATAATCATACTAAAAACCATATAACTAAACACAAACGCAAGCTTTTTTTTTTTTTTTGGTGGTGAGGATTGAAGCCAGGGCCTCATGCATGCTACACAAACACTCTACCAGTGAGCCACATCCCCAGCCCTACAAACTAAATTTTTGTAAAAAAAGGAATATAATTCTACTGGGACCATACACTATCAGGAATTGTTTTACACTGATTGATTTACACATGGAAGCTTTGATCCTCATCCCCTGAACAATACAAAGACATTTCTAACTCCCCAAGGTATAGAAAGTGGAGGAGGGAGAAGGGAGGTGCAGACCTTAGCCCTCCTTATCTGTATTTTGAAATGGGGGTGGGGGTGTCAGTTCTTTGCAATGCACAAAAGAGGTGAAGACGCTGAGTCCTGCGTAGCTCTGTGCTGCAGGTGAGCTTTCTGGAAATTCTCTCTATCCATCCTCCCTCCACCAAGCTCCAGAGTGTGCGTGCCTGGGGCTCCAGTTGTCTGCTAACAGACACACATGGCTACCGCTGGACCTCACAGCATGAGCTCTCATCTTGACACCTTTTCTGACCCCTTCTCATCGTTTTCTGCCTTTCCTTTTGATGATGGAGAGGTGGCTTAACACAATTTATTCCTGTTTCTGGAAAAGGGTGAATAGCATGCCTTCCCACACCTTCTTTCTGGTACAGAGAACAGGCTTCTGAGGTAAAGCACCTCCCTTCTTCCCAGCAGCTGAGTTCGGGAATGTGGCCCTGCCTCTCCCCTCTCTTTTTAGCTTTGCAGGGGCTTAGGGATTTAATATTTATAAAACATGGAATAAGGTCTGGCACATATTGAGTGCTCAATTAATGGTAGTCATTACTGTCAGCTCTATTCACTGATATAGAAAGATGTTAAAGATATAGTGATAAAGTGACAAAAAGCAGATTACAAGGTTACCTAATAGAAAAAGGGTTTGCATGAACATATCCTTCTAAATGCCAAGCAAATTTCTGAAGGTACATGTATTGTGCTAGAAATCTACCACTTCAGAAGAATACAAATGCAAAAGTTACATGTAAGGAATGAGACAGGGGCTTAGGAGAAGAAGGCTAGGCAGTAGTTGATTTTCTTTCTTTTACTATGCAATTATATACTTTAATAGTAATGAAATTATAAAAACATAGTTTAGAAAGTTCAACAATACTATCTATTAAATCAATTTTAAAAAGAAATCATGGTTTCAACATAATTTTTTTCATGCTTTTTTTTCACCCTTAAATTGGGAAATATCATTAAGAAACTTTCTCAGGTTAAAGAAACAGAGCAATTCAAGGGCATTCATTTGCTGTGCTGTTGTCAGAGAGTTTTTAAATTTTGTCATGATTCCCCTGTTGTAAAATGATCCTACTTGTTTGTCCATCTCTACCTATGCATATAGAATTGTCTGGAATGTTATTCACCCACCAGTATAAACAACACATTTGGCTCCTGTGGGGCTGATGTCATTGTACTCTAAAGCATTGCTTAAATTTTTTATAATGAGCATTTTTATAAAAACAGTGAAATCATTTCTAAACCTTGAAAGGAGGAGCATAGTTGACTTTCCTTTTTAGTGGTCAACACAATGCCAGTGTCTGTCTTTCCCAGGCATTCAGGAAGCAAGCTTCATCAGGATCATCTTTATGCACTTGGGTATTACCATGCAGTCCCATGAACACCTTTTCATGAGAGGAGGCAGGTGGATTGGGTGGCTAGTGGATCAGGATGTAGGAAATGTTTTCAACAACTATCTGCATCACTGACTATGCAATCCTGCCCTCCTTAAAAAAAAAAAAAAACCTAATGGAGTGTTTTTTTTTATGTCTAAAGATTTTGATTAATTGAATTAGTATTTTCTAATAGTTTGTTGGTTGAGAATCTTGAATGTTGTACAGAACTGGATAAGGTGACTTTGATCATCATTTAAATGCAACTCTCTCTTCTTTCACTGATTACACACCACTGCCATCAGGCAGATAAGAGTCCAAATCTGGAGAGAACTTGAACCCCTAGTAAATACTTGATGAAGCCACCGTGCGCTTGCCAGTTAGACTCTCATCTCTGGATAGGATACATTTCCAAGGAATAACTGTCTTCCACAGTACTTTGCTCATTGTGCCCCTTGGGATGAGGATGATAACTGCCTACATAGAAGAAAAACAATTTTGAAGAAGCTGGGATATATTGATAACCCACTGGTTCTTTGGAAGGGGCTTAGCAAATTATAACCGACCATCTGATTTTGTACAACTAAGAGCTAAGAATGGTTTTGACATTTTAAATTATTAAGGAGGCAAAAACAAAAGTAGAATAACATTTTGTGATGTGAAAATTATATGAAATTCAAACTTCCTGTCCCTAAATATTGGTGTTTGGGAAAATAAACACCATGCTCATTCATTTACATAATGCCTATGGCTGCACAAGGAGTTGTAACAAAGACTGTCAGGTCCATGATGTTGAAAAGATGTACTGTATGGCTCTTTATAGAAAAAGTTGGCTCACTCCTGCTTTAAGTTCAAGTAGAAGTTTTTTGTGTGCTGTTTGCTGGTTAAAGAGTTAAAGAGCAATGCTTTTGTGCTAGAAATATACCATTGCAGAAGAGTACAAATGCAATACTTGAGATCATTCTACTTTCCTCACTTCCTTGTCAAAGTTGGAAGAAAATAGCTAGGTGCAGGGGCACATGCTTACAATTCCAGCAGCTGAAGCAGGAGGATCACGAGTTCAAAGCCAGCCTCAGCAAAAGTGAGGTGCTAAGCAAATCAGTGAGACCCTGTGTCTAAATAAAATACAAAATAGGGCTGGGGATGTGGGTCAGTGGTCCAGTACCTGTGAGTTCAATCCCTGGTATCCACCCCCCAAAAAAAATTAGTTGGAAGAAAGTAACCATGTGAGAAAAGTTAGATTATCAGAAGGGACCATGAGAGGACTTGGTAACAACTGAAGAGGACTTGCATACTGCCTCCAAAGCTTATGGATCACTACTGCTAACTTGAACTCTAACAACATCAGTCTTCCTGCATTTGAAAATTTGAAACATTTCTTCCATGCATCTGAGAAATCTTTTGAGAGGTAGAATCTTTAATTCTTCTGATCCTTACAAAATATAGCAACTTATCAGATGGGAGCCCTCTGTTCAGTGGCTTTATCATATTGAATGGTTCTGTTTGGTTTGCACTTGCATTTGACTATCAATAGAATATGGTGAATGATTACAGAGTAGGAAATAACTTTTAGTGGAATACCTGAATCTTTAACAGCTATGGCTGACATTACTCCTCCTACCTCCCACAATATATGAGTATGTGTTAATACTGAAGCTATCCTGCTACGAGTAGCAATGTTGACAATAGTACTGTAAAATATTATCAAACTGAACCCATGAGTCAATTTGCTTCAAAATTCCCATGTGTCCACTAGTGAGCTCATTGTCCTTACTTGTTTTGTTCTGTTGCAGAGGCTGAAGGCTGCATTGACTCACCACCCTGCTGCCATGTCCAACGGGAATATGAACACCATGGGACACATGATGGAAATGATGGGCTCCCGGCAGGACCAGACGCCACACCACCACATGCACTCGCACCCACATCAGCACCAGACGCTGCCAGCCCACCACCCCTACCCACACCAGCACCAACACCCAGCACACCACGCTCACCCTCAGCCCCATCACCAGCAGAACCACCCACACCACCACTCGCACTCCCACCTTCACGCACACCCAGCACATCACCAGACCTCTCCGCACCCGCCCCTGCACACCGGCAGCCAAGCACAGGTAGACCCTCTCCATGACCAATTTCCTCTTCTAGTTCTTCTTGATAAGGGTGCAAGCTCTAATCGTGTGTGGGTGGGGGTGGGGGTGGGGGACCCTGCAGCAGCCTTGCTTGACAGGCCTGGGTGTTCCATAGGACCTTCTGGGGAGCTGTGTTCATTTCCTGAGGCAGCAGTTACCCATAAGGCACTATCAGATCATAATTTCTCTAAATATTATAGTAAATTTCAAGCCCATTTTGTTGGGAGGGAGGACTATAAACTTGAAGTTCTCCGAAATGTATTTTGCAGCATATTTCAAAGCTGCTCCTAAAAACAGTAAGATAATGGGAGGATTAAGAGGAATTTAAGCTAATGATGAAAGATGAGTAAAAAATGAGAAAAATGAAGTTAATTCTAACCCTGGTCTATCTGTTATAGTTTAAAACATCCTAGGGACTCAAATTTGTCACCTGTGAAATGGAAGTTAAATACAAAGGGCAATATTCCTGAGTGGCAGTAAATGTTAAAATCTAAAGAGTAACAATTCATGCAGACAAAGAAGCTCCGTAATGGATGCTAGGGCGTAAGGTACTGTGTAAATGCTGAGGAGAGGTGACTCATCCCACCAAATGTGAAATGCGTTGGAGGAAGCAGAGAGTGAGCGAGCCAAGCTCATAGATGATCAGACCAAGAGAAAGGCCAAATCCCAAGGGTGGAGAGTCACCAGGAGTGGCTAAAAAGAAAGCCAGCATTTAGACTAAACTGAAGAGAGTTGGGGGACCAGGCAGACATTATGTCACCCAGACCAAGGAGAGAGGCGAGTCCCTATACAGGAGGGGGTTTTAGTAAGCAGATGGAGGACACATCCAAGAACATGGCTGGCCCCAGACACTTTGGATCCTCCAGTAGGATGAGCTTCGTCAGTCCCCTCCACCCATCCTACACTGCCAGGTCCCAACCAGCTTTGTCAGAACCGTGTCGGACGCTTGGGACCGCCAGTAGCGCTTATTCACTGTCTCCTCCATCTTCCTTCTCTAAAGACAAGAGCTTTAGAGTGGCAGAATGGTTCTCTTTCCAATTTTCTTGTTGTGTGACTGTGGACAAAGAACAATGAACCTCCCTAAATCTCGGTTTTTACAAAGTGGGGTAATCATAGACTACATTCATAGGCTCTTGTGAGTATTAAATCTCTGTAGAAGTTTTCAAAATGTGTTAGCAATGATAAATTCCAAACCAAAACAATTCAGAAGAAGTTGAGCAATAAAATACTACCTGGACCTTTTTAGTCACATTTTTAGTAAAATGTTGCACTGGGACATGAATTTAACAGAGAGAAAGGAAACTCTCAGATCAAAGCTAGGCAAATCGAGTCTCATATGTACTGAATTTTTAAGGAAAGGAAAAACATCAAGGTTTGGTTGCCTTCTTGGGAAAGTTATTCACCAGCAAGTTTAATAGCTCCTTATATATAAAAGTCATTCATTAGCTAAGTACCAATTAGCCAATTGCCCTCTGTTTCAAGTCATTAAGTGGCCAATTGTATATGCAATTAGTTAATTGCTATTATAATTAGCTGTACCAACAGTTTCTTTTTTATCCCATACTTAAAAAAAAGAAAAAAGCATCCTGGTTTGGTCTTGCTAAAATTTGAATAAAATAATTTAGACTGTATTCTACAATACCAGTCTTCAAATTTTATCAACTTGGATGATCACAGAGATCTTGTCATATTGCTTAATAGTATAATTATCTGTACAGTAGGGATAGACATTTGTAAAAGTCCTTCTATCTCTGAGACTATGAGATGACTTGGAATAAATCCTGCTTTTTCAAAAAAATCACAATTCATTATTTGATCCAAACTGGCAGAGTATCATTGCCAAGAAAATTCTACTTTAATATAAAATGATAAGTCTTAATAATTACCAGGAATACAATTTCTGATTGTAGGGTTGCATTTGCAATTTTTCTAATAATTATGCAAAAATAATCATATTGTAGGTCCAAGTGTCACTTCATGGACATCAGGAATTTCTTTTAACCAACATCCCACCTCCCTTAAACCCAGAACCTGCACTGCACCTAAAACCACCCCCATCTGGCTTACCCCATTTGGGCAAAGACACAGGAAAAGCATGACCAGTTGCAGGTTGATTGAAATAGGGGAGGACCTGGTATTGAGAGAGAGGTCCCTTCAATAGAGATGGAAAACCAGTTTTGCCTAGTCTTGCCTGAGACTGGCAATAAGAGATCGCTAATTATTCACAAAAGAAACAATCAAGGCAAAAACCGTCACAGAGCACTTTCTCTCCTACTGCTTGGCTTGTCAGGAGTGAGCTCAGGAGTTAGCCTCTGAAATGACCAGTGCTACATCTTTGCCAATAACAAGGATTATGTCATCATCAGCAACTCTGATGAGTAAGACCTTAGACAATTTATTTTGCTATTCCTCTGTGATCAGGAGGAAAGGCGTCGCCAATAAAGAATTTTAGAAAATGTCTTTGCTTTAGATAAAATTACTGAGATGCAGTCCGACCTCACTCCTGAGCCTGATTCTTTTACAGTAGTCATTGAAGGTTTGATAGAGGTTAGGATTGAAATCTATCACCATCAGTCAGCTGATGTCAACCCATAGCCATCATTAGTACAATTACAGTCATCCTGATTGATATCAATCAGAGGGTTGGAATGTGGTCGAAAAGGTTGTTTGACTTCATTTTTAAAACTCTTTGCCTGTTATTTCTGCAGGTTAAATATCTCTTGTAAAACAACTTTATAGGTATTACAGCCATAAACCTGAGTGACTGAGAAATAGGAGAGGTGGGGGGAAAGCACCCTTTATTGAGAATGAAGAAGGAGGAAGGAGCAAAGTGAATTAGGGAAAGCATTAAGTGTCCAGACATATAAAGAATCAGCTGTAGAAATTTCATAAGGTGCTGCACGTCTGCCTTATGGAGGGAAATAAAGCGACATGTATGGGGGTCTCCAAAGCCTTAGATGTCACTGAGTCCCATACAGACCTTACAAGAAGTCTATAAGCATAGTAAAACTTTTTAATAAAGTGTTCTGCCACTCCCAGGACTTCCTTATGACGCAGGTATGTGGTCATGTCTGCTGTCCCTCTGTGTCCTACACATGCAGCGGAATCAGGGCAGCTTCAGCATCAAAGGCCAGGCCTCCCAATCACCTGGGAGGCTCTCAGACTTCTCCTCCACCTTGCTCAGAACTCTGAGGATCAGCAGACCCATCTAGAGTCTGCAGGTCCAGCTAGTCCTGGGCATGAAGAACTGTGAAATAGTGAAACTAGGATTCCAGCCATCTTCCTGCTTCACGGGGTTCTTTCCATAAGAGTCACCGTGGTGACAAAGTCCCAGAATTTGTCTAGGGAGGCGGTTGTAACACCCCTTGAATGAAAAGAACCTGCCAGAGGTTTTCTGCAGATAACAGTCGTCAGTGACGTGGCAACCTGGACCCCTCTGTTTTCACCCTATAGCTATCCATTGGCTACTTGAAAGTTCTTTGGAAAGTACCTTAAATAAAAACATTTCTTACACCTGAAGGAAGAAAAAAAAATGTTTCATCTATCATGATTTGGCCAAATGCCTGTCAGGGAAAAATCCACCCAACAACATCTTTTCATAAGTCATTCCTGTCTCTGGGTAAAACATCAGATTAAAGCTCAGTGATGCTTTTTCTTTTCTTTGGTGGGTGTGATTTCATTGTTTATCTCATTCATAGAAAACAAGTTCGATGTGCTTACTAAAGCAACTGGCTTCCTGTGCTCTGCATTATAAAGTAAGCTCCGGTTTCTTCCCTTGTCCCTCCTGGTTACCATGGCCTCCTCCCTCTCTGTGCCCACAGGTTTCACCAGCCTCGCAACAGATGCAGCCAACCCAGACCATACAGCCGCCCCAGCCCACAGGGGGACGCCGGCGAAGGGTGGTGGATGAAGATCCCGACGAAAGGCGGCGGAAATTTCTGGAACGGAACAGGGCCGCTGCCACCCGCTGCAGACAGAAGAGGAAGGTCTGGGTGATGTCACTGGAAAAGAAAGCAGAAGAACTCACCCAGACAAACATGCAGCTTCAGGTGCAAGGCCACTGTCTCTTTCCCCAGTTCTCCAAGGCCCTGTGCACAGTTGGTATTTCCTGCCTCCCAGGCTCCTGTTGACTTACAGAGTCCTACCACACACTTCGCCCTCATAGGAGGCTCAAGCCTACTCATCCAGCTTTATTAATTCTGAGACAAACAAAATAGTCCATTCAGTTTTCAGTCACTCCACCTACAAAGCTCTGAAAAGGGAGGACTCACCCAGCTAAGTCGTAGGGCTGAGAGCTCAGGCTTTGATCAGACAGTGGTTCAAACCCTGGCTCAGCAGTGTTGCTGAGTTTAACCTCCCTGACTCAGTTTCCTCATGTATAAAATGAGAATGGTGCCTTTAGAGAGTGTTTAGAAGAAATAAATGAACTAATGTCTATGGAGCAGTTGACACAGTACCTGGCCCAGAATAAGTCTTGAACTGAAAGGTAGCTGTTCAACTTTGCCAGGTTGAAAGGATCCCTTTGGCTTATGCCCTATGACCTATATTTTTTGTTGAGTGGAAGAAAGGAAGGTTTATGGTTGTTATTTGGCTCTGAAAGAAAAGGCAAATTTCCATCTTGTTTTCAAACTCAGTAAGATTTGAATCATGCATGAATTTTGCTTTTCATGAATGGCTTAACTGGGACATTTTATAATAAGGCCACTTCTGGAGTGTTTGGAAAGAAGCCGAGGAAACTCTAATACCCAGGGCATAGAGCACACATAGTGCACTTCAGGGCCTTTGTTCTGGCATCAAAAGAAGAGCAGTGCTCACCCGCAAAAACAATTGACATGTGACAAATAGAGATAGCAGTAAGAGTGAGATTATAACCTCCAGGAACTGAGAGGATGGCCAATAAGCAGAAATGGGTGAGGTGCCCAAGGTAGGGAGGCCAAAGTAGGGAGGCTATGCACCTTAAAAGTTCATAGATCACCTTCATTCCCCACCCCACCCAACATCTGGTCCTTTGTGCATCCTTAGGAAGAAGCAGTTCATGTGCCAAATCCCCAAAACTTTTGCTTTTCTTTTTTGGTTCTGGGGATTGAACCCAGGGCAGCTTAACTACTGAGCTACATCCCCAGATAAGTTGCTTAGGGCCTCACTATGTTGCTGAGGCTGGCTCTGAACTCAGGATCCTCCTGCCTCAGCTTCCAGAGCCACTGGGATTACAGGTGTGCACCACCACGGCAGCCCAGCAGCCTTTGCAGTTTCAATTTCACTGAATGGAAATACCCTTAGGGCATTCAGTGTACAAAGGGAAAGTAGATGAGGAAAGTTTTGGTTATATGTGGATGAAATTTCATAACTTACAGATGTTGACTCCTCCTCTCCCAAATGTATTATGCTTTTTTGAGATGGACATAAGCAAGAGACTGGGAAACATGACAAGATATGGGGAAGAAAATAACACACCAATTGCCCCACATCCCAGTTTGTATGCTACATAAAGGTTGGGACTGTGTCTTTTTACCCCTGCCCCTGTCTTTCCCCTGTGTCTAGTAGAGTGCTACACTTGAGAAGTGTTTATTGAACCAGTGGATGAATTCTCCATCTCTGGAGTGGCTATGAATTGGCCACCCTTGGCATGGATGTGATTTCAGGGTGTCAATCCACTGAGGAATGGCTGGACCTAAGTACCTTTAAAGCCACTCCTAGAATCTGGCAGGCACAGTAATTTTTGATAAGCTTTGAGGTAGAACACAGATAGTGTTTGAATATTAATAGTCACACTTTCATATTGATATTTATTGAAAAATGTAATTAGAACCTGAAACCTGAAATTTCACAGATATTATTGGTAAGGATAAGACTAAATCATTTTTAAATGATTTGATTTGCACATACATGTTAATAAAAGCTCTGGTCTGTGTAGAACTAAAAAATATTGCACAGTCGTTCTGCAATGACTAAAGAGGGGATCCAGGAATTTGCTCCCAGTCCTTAGGGCTGCGGATGGATGGTGAAAACATGCAGGTTTTCTTAATCTTGGCACTGTTAGCTTTTAGGCCCCATCTTCCTTTGTTGTGATCTATGTATTGTAGGCTACTGAGCAGCATCTTTGGCCTTTGCCCACTAGGTGTCAGGAGCAAAGGAGCATATCCCCCCCACCCCCAACAGTGATAACCAAAAAGTCTCCAGACCTTGCCAAATACCCTGTGGTTAGAACTGGGATCATGGTAGTGGTGCAAAATCAGCCTTGGTTAAAAACCACTGGCTTACCAGCTGGCACTTATCACATACAAGCAGTCTTTAAGTCAGTAGTAAGTAAAATGCATCCTTGCCGAATTCCTCCAGGTCCTAGGAGAGAGCCAGGAAAGCAATGATGCTAGTTGAGTTTGAGGTCAGATGAGTTCATGACTTGACATATACATATTTATGACTGCTTTCACAAAATACTCAAGGTAAATTTACCCTTTACTAGACCACTGATTTCTTTTTTTCATTTCTTTAGAGAAAAATGGCTAGGAAGAAGAGATTTTAAGAAATCTAGCTCCTGAAAACCAGGAGGGAAAAATCTATTGAGTTCATGTAACAGAAACGAATATCCTTTGGTTATTAATGCAGAGTGCAAAGAAGGAAAAACCTCTTAAAAGACTAAGTTGTTGATATTTTCCAACCACTGCTCTGCAGAAGGACAGAAGCCACAAGCGTCCAGTGTTTTCTGTGACGTGGCAGCTTCTGCATCTTGCCCGGTGATGCTGGAGAGGATGCTGCAGATTCTGCTACCTTTGAGTGACCCTTTCCCTCTCACTAGACCTTTGTCAACACAAAAAGGTGTCTCTCTTGAGGCTGGTTCAGTAAGCCAAATTTTAAGTAAACAGAAATGGAAGGTGCTAAGCAAACAAACTCCAGCCAAACGGAATACCCAAGGTCTGGATGGCCAGCTGCCATGGTGGGGTTGTTTTCCAGCATAGAACCTTCTAGTTAGGCTCCAGCATTTCAGATTGGAAAAACCAAACCTAAGAAAACAAAAATCAAAACCCCAGGCTTCATTTCCTAGTCGCACAACAAATCTGACCAAGAGGTCAGCACAGGTGTAAAGAATTAAGGGAAAATTAGAAACCACCCAAACTGACATTTTATATAGGGAGAAACTGAGTTTCAGAGAGATGAGGAGACTTCCCAGATATCACCCAACCAGTAAGGAGCAGAAGGAGGAATCCAGCAAGACTTCTGTGAACCTAACCCACTGCTTTTCGATCTTTCATTCTAAAAAGACCTTAAACTAAAGGAATTCACATCCTTCTTTGTGATACAGAGTGGCTAAAAATCACCACTGATGTGGTGCTCAGTAGACCATTTGAGTTCAGTAGAGGATATGGAAATCATCTGCACTTTCATGGGTGCATGGAAGTAATTGCTTTTCCTTTTTAGTGCAAAGACACATGGTCTAAGTTGCCGCTGAAATTTTAGACACACAAGCCCAGGTCTGGGACTTGGCAAGAGAATAGGCCAGATGGGAACTGTTGCTTGACAAATTGAAAGCCCTTTGTTGCAGAGTGAACCAAACCTGGTCTCCGCTAATCTAAAAACAAGAGGGGGCGGTGGGTACATCGTAGGGCCCATTTTGATAATTATTTTTTTGGCACGAACTACTGCTCACACCAAAAAAAACATTCTGGATTTATCACATATCAAAATGACATTCCCCAAACAAAGAAACTGTAACTGTAGCTTTTAGGGACTCCTTGGATTACTTGTTTAAAGAATGTTATCATAGTATTGAAAAACTTATGGATTTAAAAATAGATCAATCCAACTGGATTTTTCCTCCTACAGTCTCTGTTTAAATGGCTTACTGCTTTAGAGTAGCAAACTCAAATTAGTTTATAAATTTTTTTTTTAAAAATGAAGACTGATTACCACAAAAGAGTCAATACTTACTATTTATACTTTGCTTTTGCAAAGTATGTTTCTACTGAGACCTAGAACTCTTATTATAACCTATATAGGGGAATTTTACAACAGGTGATTTTCCTTGATTCATAAAGTAAGGTAATTCAGAGTAAGAAAATGCCTCCAGAAGTCCTGGCTTTTATTTCCCTATTGGACTTGGAGGCCACATTTGATTTCTTTCATGCACTTTGAAACATTTGCTATCTGGTTGTTCCCTTCCAAAATGAATTCAAGGTGAATCTACTTATGTTACCTTGAAAGGATTTTTCTTAAAATATGGTCTAGTAATTCTGCATTTCCTACATCAATCAGTCTTTCAATATGGAATCTTTAAAATAATTCTGCAAGTACAGAGTACACAACCCATTCTCCTTTTCTAGGACAGTGATTCTTGACCTTTCTAAAGCCAAAGTGCCCTTCTGGAAACTGCTGAAGGTGCCATAGTCTCTCACAATGTGGACACACGTATGGACATATTGCTTTAGAATCTGCCCTGATGAGGCCAGGGAGCACATGAGATGCTGAAGCTGGATTCCTTATGAAATCCAAGACCTGAAAGATTAATAAATATATTTGAGAATATTAATGGTAGTCAATGAATGAATACAAATCAAGATTGGGTTCTTCATTAGAGAATCAGGTAATTCAGTTTTTCAATAGAAAGCAACACAGAAACACTCATGGAATAAGAAGCTCTCTTTCTGGGAGGAACTTAGAGAACTAGTACGATTGTCTTGTTTTGTACCTGGTTGATGAAGCCATTTAGGAGCTAAACAGCCATGATTCATTCATTCTGTCTCTCCCTCTCTCTCTCAGTAGTGGGGATTGAATCCTGGGACTAACCCTTTATGCCCACCCACCAGCTGAGTGTTCCTTTCTCTGATAGATCTGCACCATGAATTTCTGTGCCTTTTAGGTCTTTACTTAATCTTTACAGTATCATAGTTATGTGTGTATATGATCTGAACAAGAGGCTGACTCTTCTTCTTTACTGAAGATATTAGTTATTTATTTTTCAATCATAACATGACTACAATGACTAGCGCGTTACACTAGAAATATGTCCATACTCACATATAATCTTTAAGTGATGGTCAGTTTTTACTACACTCTCTGTGTTTTTACATTTTTATAGACCTTTGAAATTCTCAGGGCCTTGGTTTCTATTCTTAGAACATATTGGTTTGTTGGTAAAGTGTTTTGCTATTCAGAGGAAACAGATCAGGAGTGTATGTGTATGAATTGTAATTTGCTGCTGTTCTGTAGTAAAACAGTTTTATAGAAGCAAAAGGTTCATTGTGAAATGGTTTGGTGTGTGTAGAAACCCAGAGAAAGGGATTCATATTGTTTTCTTTAAAGAAGCAATGAACTCTTCATGCCTGGAGAGCAAGTACTACCTTCAAAGGGTCTAACTGCCCGGAACAGGGTGGCAGAAGAAAAGGAGCCTAAACTCACCCTCTGCAAGATGGCCACCAAGCAGGATTAGTTTTTCTTCCTGAAGTTCAAGAAAGCGAGAAAACTCAGTTTTCGTTTCATATTGGCTTGTTTATCATTTTCTAAATCACAGTAGAAAAGTGTGAATGCACTAAATTTGGAACTCAATTCCATTCTCAAACAATTGTCCATATTATCTGAAGCTGAGAACCTCTACTCAGAGGGCAGATGTCCAGGAATGGTGATTTCAGAAAAATGTTATTCCTGTGGTCAAAATGCAAATCACATGACATTTCATCCTGAAGCATACACACACACACACACACACACACACACAATCTGCGTTTCCTTGTCAGTTTTGTGGGTTTTTTGGTTTTGTTTTGTGGGTTTTTTGGTTTTGTTTTATTTTTAACCAGAGATTTATTTTATATGATGGTCTAACAATGACTTTCTTTGATCCTGTTATTTTACGCAGAAGGAGAACTGGGAAAAAACAAGAATTTTGGCATAATTTTGGAGAGGAAAGAGTTAGCGTTTAAGGCTAACATAAATTATCCTATAAATGAAGGGGTTGACAAGGGTCAGTTTGGGTTGTGACAGGACCCCTTATCAATCCTACTCATTGGGAAGTGGGACGTACTGTTTACCTTCATGAATGTTCTCAGGTTTAAGAGCAATTTTCCTGTGCAATTTAGTGACTTATTCATCATTAAGGTTAATTTCTCAAACAGGCATTTTTATTTTGCAGTTCAAAGGAGAAAGGGAAATGCTTTTGTAGATGAGATTTTTATTACCTTGTTATTAATGTTACTCAGTGTGCAGTTACTTATAATGTTGTACTCAGTGTTTTAAATAACTTTGGAAATAGGAGATGTTATTTGAAACAAGTTTTAGTTATTTTAAAGTAACATTTAGAATCCCATCCTTACTTCTCTATGTGAAAAATACATGCCTGAAAAACCAAGTTCATACAGCAAGTGTAGATACAACTTAATGACAGCAACATTCAATACCCTTTTCTGTGCATGCTTTTAAAAATTTTCCTACATGTGAAATATAATGCCTGCCAGCCACAAATCAGCCTTGGCCAGAGAGGGTATTATTTATCACAATTTTAAAACAGCTTATTTTAGATAGTGTGATGTTTATAGTTTACTTTTATCAAGAGGAAGCACCTTCCAGCCAACCATCTATTCCACATTCATATTTGTAGACAATGGGTGCCCAGCACACTGTTCTACAAAGCTATGAACAAGTCTTTGTGGATTACTACATAAAAGTAAAAATTTAAGGCACTTATCTGAGTAAATAAGAAAACTCCTACAATCTTGATATTGTAGAAGAAAGGAATTTATAGACTGAAATTAGCCAAAATAGTTAACAGACTGATCAGATTAATCCAATCACAGCCCCAAATGTTATTACTTCTTGTCTCCCTGGGCTGACATTTTCCTGACAGCAGATAGCCAACACTGTACCATGTGCTTCAGTGCTCCCTTCAAAGTGGGCCACAGGCTGGGTTGCTCAGTCACAACCCAAATGGAACTGCTTGTATGTGCTTCTCCTTGTCCTTGTATGGAATGTAACCCTGAAATTGTGAAAGTTATAATGACTAAATTTATTGAATATTTAGCATGCACTATGCATTGTTCCAAGTGTTTTACATCTGCTACCTCCCTTAACCCTCACAATAACTCATATGATATTGTGGTGTTTCTATCTCTGTCTTACAAATGAAGTTGGCAGATCTGGGATGGGTGTTATCTTTCTAGAATCAGACAGAAAGTGTGCAGTGGGGTTTCTCACCTGCATCACCTGGCTCGAGAGCACACCTAAAATGTGCGAAACCCTTCCATGTCTGGCCTTTGACTAGAGTTCAGCTCTTGATTTAAAGTCTAACTAAGTCCTTAGTAAATTGAAGGCGAGCTTCAAACCTTCAGATGGACCCCTTTTAAATAAAATGGTCTTATTGTCACTCAGACATAATAGAAAAGGTTGCTAGTTTCATTGTTGAGACGGCATAGGGCTTTGGGTTATACTCTCTGGTCTTCTCAACATGAGTTTAATCTGTCTCTTTCCAGAATGAAGTGTCTATGCTGAAAAATGAGGTGGCCCAGCTGAAACAGTTATTGTTAACACATAAAGACTGCCCAATAACAGCCATGCAGAAAGAATCACAAGGATATTTAAGTAAGTCCCAGACTCTTGCTTTTTTTGGTATCCAGTGTTTTGCCACAAATTTTGTATTGAATTTTACTGAAAGAGCAAAGGAAAGGGTAGTGGTACTCCCAGGCATATATACTGGAATCCGTGAATGCCTATTCTGCTAGGAGGATCCCTCTTTACTGACCCCATCCAACATCATACACACCACCTCCTGGTGATTTGGGCTATGCTTTCCCTGGCATTCTATATTGCAAAATACTATCAAATTCCTGTTTTGTAGCTGGTAAGAAAATAGCCTGCTAGAAGCCATTCACCAGTGAGTGGCTTGTCTACTTGAGAAATCTGTAAACTGGGAAAAAGGCATTTGGTGAACTGCTTCCAGTGCCTTAGCATACACTGCATGGGACCCACTGAGCTGAAAAGCTAGTGACCCATTTTCAGTTTACCATTAGATAAACTGATCTTGATCCCAGTTTCTGCACCCAGAAGTCAGTAGGTTAAATGCTAGTTGAATAGGGTTTGGGGGAAGGACTAGTGATCTGTGGCTGAAGATCAATTTATTTTCAAATAATTTTTTAGATTGAGCAACACAGATTCTCCCTCCACATGTGAGTATTTTTCCACATTTGATATATGGCTGTTTATCTGAGAATCCAAGATGGGGAAGTTCACACATCAAGACTCAAACACATGAAATCATTTTGCCGAAACAGGAAGCATGGCTTGGCTTGTAATGATAAACCCGGGAGGTATAGCTTTGTGACCCCAGTTTAAAATGAAAATTTGAATTCAACTTCCAGAAGACAATGTGTGCAACCCTTCCATGTCAAGTCAATGTCTGGTCCTGTTTTTATTCTGAGGAGTTTGCAAGTCCACACAAGAAAAAGCTATATTGGTGTGTGCATATGTGTTTTTTCCTAGGTCCGGAGAGTAGTCCTCCCGCAAGTCCTGTCCCAGCTTGCTCACAGCAGCAGGTCATCCAGCATAACACCATCACTACTTCCTCATCAGTCAGTGAGGTGGTGGGAAGCTCCACCCTCAGTCAGCTCACTACTCACCGAACAGACCTGAATCCAATCCTTTAAAATGCACGGGTCAGACCTTGCCTCCAAGAAGAGCTGTAGCATACCATGCATCCTTTCTCCTAAGGGCATTTTTAGAATTAACTCAGAGCTGGAAGACTCCTCAGCCCTTCAAAGACTGGCTTTCATTTTTATAGTTACTATGGAAATGTTGTCTTTTATACTTAGTTATATAAGAAAAAAAAGGGAGTTATGCAATTAATATCTGTCGGCTTGGGAAACGCTTTGGTGCTTTTCTCCAATTTTCTGGTACCAGTTACTTGTTTATAAACGGAACCTCTTCTGTATATAGCCATAGTTTCCTTCTTATCAGTCCAGCCCTTTGTCTGAAACAATGACTCTTGTTAAAACACAGCTTTTAGCCAAAATGAGGCATACCTAGATGTCAAGTGAGACTGATCAAGGTAACTGGGTAGGAAATCTGATGACGTCATAACTCATGTTGAGCTTGCGCTGTGACATCACCAGAATCCCAGATTAAACACACAGCCTTTCCGCAACTGTTTCTGTCTTACCAGAAAACAAATTAGAAGATCCACCCACGTCCTAATAAAACCACCAAGCACCTCCCCTCCTCTCCTCTTCTCTTGGTCCACTTGCTCAAATGCCCAATTTCCCTCTCTATTTACACTTTATCTTGGCTCCCTGTTTACTCTTCATTTTAACCTTCTTCTGTTTTATGTTTTTCCCCTTTAGCATTACATGTGAAGAAAAAAATAATGTTTAAAGAAAAGAAAAAGCAAACCTCAAAAATATGGACTTAGCCATTGCTTCATTTGCCTGTAACCCACAGCTGGAGTTCATTCAATTCTCGCTTTTTACAAAATAGTAACCAGGAGATGTTTAATGTGCCTGATTTAAGGTTTTTAATAATCAGAGTAAATAAAGGTGGTTTAGTTATAGGTGAAGCACTGTTGAATGCCAGCTGTGGAGACAGTAGGAGAGGGAGATTTGTAAGCCCCAATTGTGAAAGTCCAAATTATGTTGCGGGGCTATAACATCACACCCTAGAATTACAACTGGTTTTATACAACCTGTCTATAATGTTGAAAATCCATGCACTATATAATAATTCAGAAGGGCTCTATTCACTACACAGATTACATTGTTCAATCATCAGCTGCTAATAGCCTAAGATTTATTATTATTATTTTTTTTCTTAAGCCTATAGAACTAGCTCTGCTGTTCTGGTGGGTGAAAGCAGACTCACTCCTGTAGAAAGCAAGTCCAGTGTTTCCCTGGGGTGCTCTCAGCTCCCAGAACAGTCACAGCGCTCCGTGGCTGCTGACGGAATCCCATGGATATAAGTGGCACAGGCTGCTCACTCCACCCTTCTGAATAATTCTTATTTATATGTTCAACAGCTTACGTGAACTTGCCCATTATAAAAATAAAAAAAAAACAGATAGGACCCAAACCACAGTCGTGCCTCCTTGGAACAAGCCATTCTACTGTGCTCATGTTTTAATATTGCATTTCACAAATAATAGGGGCTAGTGTTTCTCTCTAGCAGTCTAGGCAGGTGCTGGTGTTTCATCTCCATTTGAATGCTTGACCTCCGAGTGTGTGTGTGTGTGTGTGTGTGTGTGTGTTTCTGTATGGGTTTTAAAACAACAGTATTTTACAAAAAGTGTCACTTTTATAAGAATTCAGAAAAGGGAAGGATGTGGCTTTTTTTCTCTCACCATAGTTTAAGAATCTATTTTGGAGAAGAAAAAAAAAAGGAGAAAATATGAGGACCATGAAGCATGATTTTTATAACTAGTTTCAGTTTTATCTAATAACTTACTTTTTAAATCAATATTTATCAACAATCTTTCCATGTATGCAGTGCTTTTGAAAGATGGTTTTGAGGGTTCAGTACAACTTAGGACTTGGATATATGGTCTAAGAATCAGAACAAATACAAAAAAAAAGAAAAAAAATGAAAAAAGAAAAGCATAAAAAGAATGCAAACGAAAAGGATTTTCTATTATATTTTGGAGAAACATATCATTTTCAAGTATTTTAAATACTGAATTCATAGTTATGTTTTTTTCCAACAGTAACAATGGTTTAACCTGACTGGCTTCTTAAGAAATGTTTAAGATTTAGTTTTAAAAAGAAGTTAGCATTTGTATTGCTGTTTTGAAATAATTTTTTTTTTTTAGAATTCCTTCCTAATACTATCTATATGTCCTCCTCCCCCCAGCACACAGGAAAAAGGAAAAGAAGGAACTGGAATGATTGGGGTTTTGGGGGTATTTTTTAAAAATTTTCATTTTGTTTTGCTTTAAGTAAACAAAAACTTTCCTTTCTTTTCTGATGCATAGCACTTAATGAAATGGATTTTTAAAAAATCCATTAGTAATATCAAAATGCCCAGGGAGTGACCTGTCACTAAAATTATGATTTAGTTACTTCTCTTGATTGAAATATTTAGTTGTTAAACTGAAAGCCTTTGCAGTTAAGAACTTGCCTGAGTTTGCTTAATTCAGCAACTCGACAGTTTGACTGATGTGCATTATTTATAGCTCAATTATGTCTGTTTTTTATGCTAAGTAGGCAAACCAACCACACACGTTAGCAAACCCGCCTCAACGTATAATTAGAGTAAACTGCCTTCTTGTTAGATGCAGGGCCTTTAGGTATGTTCATTCACAGTATGGAAATACAGTAAATGGGAAATGCCAGCTAGCTGCCAGTGCTTGAGATCCCAAACAGAAAGATTCACTGGTCACATCCAGCATTTGGCATACCAATAGTCAGGACTTCACCTAAAGACCGAGCCTTCACCAGATCACAAATCTTGCCAATCTATGAAAACATTTTTTAAGCCAGTTCTCTCTCCAGCCATGTATACATATTTACAAGTCAGTGAAAATGGCCTTCAGAGCGCCATCCTGGGGAGGAAAGGTCCCTGTAGCGCTGCCTCTCATTTGTGTGTGGCTTTCTTCATTGGCTGGATCTGCCTCGGAAGCCATTGCCAGCTTACTGGAAACTTCTACAGTGCCTCCCCTGCCTAATGTGCTGGGGCTAACAACTTAGTACACCTGAAAGCATTTCTACTTGATGAATCCTCACCTAAGTGGAGGTTTCTGCATCTGAATTATTTGTTCTTGACACATTTCTCCATCTAAGATGGCTGGGACAGGGATAGAAGTCCCAGCCATGGATGAATGTACTAATTTCAAAGCCAGGTGTCAAGTCTGATGTTTTCCCTTTGCACTCATACCCTCCCATCATGGTGCATGCAGGTCACCTCACTGTCTCAGCACACCCTGAGGGAGACAAGAGGCTTGTGTGCCGTCAAGGCATATGTTATAATAAGTAGGGTGACTTAGAGCAAATGCCCTTTGGTAGCTCATCTAGTCAATGAAATAAAGTGCAGTGCATGTTCCCAGAGAGAGGTGTCAACGGACAATATTCAGGTAGTTGTTGCCTGTTAGTTAAGCAAATTTTAGTAGATTAGTTGAGTTTGTCATTAAAGCCCTAAACCAGCTACAGTAAAAGACCAGCCTTTGGTCTTTTAAGCATCAGTAACTGCTATAAAACTAGCCATCCAGTTAGGATAGAATGTGCTTCTTTCTGATTAATTAAAACCATCTAAGAAAGTGTATATGTATGTATGTGTGTATACAGTGGAATTCAAGGACCAAAGCAAAATTTGAACAGGAATCTATTAATTTAGAATTTTATAAGATATTTATTAATAAATGTTATTTTTAAACATTCCATTTGAACAGTATTCTTCTGTAGGATCTACTTGTTTTTAAAGTATTAGTCCATAATGAACTACCCTAGTTGTGTGTTTTTTTTCATTTTTCAGGGTTTCAAATGGCTGTTCACCATCATTTGGTGGAAATGTTTGCTTAGATCTCTGTGCATAGATATTTCGAGGATTTGTATTGCTCTGTGAGTTATTTTTAAATCTACATTCTGAACCATTTCTTTTTAACATTTATTTCTTCTTTTCATTTTTTAAAGTAAGCTCTTTAATTTAGGAAGCAGAGTTTCGCTAAAGGGAATCAGTAACTATAACTGGAACAGCTTTCTTGTAAAAGTGCAAAAACAGCTTCATCTCTGATTCTCTCCCCATCTCCCAGAAGGCCTTGCACTGCTCAGCCTCCTTAGAGTTTCCCGCCCCTTCCCAAACAAGATGCAGCAGCTTTAAGCCATTCAAGCCCCATTGTGCAGTGTATCTGAGAAGGGAAAGGAAACAACCCATTTACATTTGAATAAAACCGTGCCTATGCGAACAGGAGCAATTTAGAATCTCTTTTCTGCTTTTAAAATAATTTATATTTTAAAATTGCACTTTAGCTTTTTTGATTCCTTTCCATTTCTCTTGTTCTCTTTCTAACTTCTTCCCTATCTTTAAACTTGCCTTTGCCCCCCCCCACTTAAGGATTCCTCAGCCTTTCTTCTAAGGCTCTGAGCTGCGTCATTTAAAATACTTTACAGAATATTTGCACCAGGTACATTTGTGCGCATTCGTGAGTAGCATAGCTAAGACTTGTTTCTCACACCAGCCTAGGTGAAGCCTGCTACAAGAATGCCAAGAAGAGCCAGTACACTATAGGTTTATAGTCTTTGTCCTTTATTCTTAGCATGTTTTTTTAAAAAATGTTATATTATGCAACAGATGTGACAGGCAGCAGCTAAGCTACTTAAGAATTTTCTATCTCGTCCTCCAAACCAAAGTGTCCTGAATGAGCCAGGAGACTTATTCTTTTGTGCATCATGGTGCACGTTTGACTGTTGTCCTAGCCATAGTTCCTGGGGCTGCTGACATAGCAATGGCCCTATCGATTTCATTCCTAGGTCTCGAAAAAATACAGTGTTGCCTTGTTAACATGATTAGAGACAGCACCTCTATTTCACAATTATAGTCTAAGAAAGAATAAGAAAACTCCGGAGCAATAAACTTACAAGTAAGATCCAATACCAAAATAAACACACAAAGAAATTTAAAAAAAAAAAAACTATCTTGTCATTGTTGTGAAAATGAAAAAGTGTATGTCCATTCAAAATATTTTACTATTTCTTGTGGAGTTTTTCGGTGATGTAATGCTTGTAGCCAAATTGCTTAAAGAATGTTTATATATTTTTTTCCTTATAAATCGTCTATTTTTTGAAGAAAAGAAAAACCTATTTAAGTGCAAGCTGTAGAGGGGGGAAAAGCCAAATTGCCAGCATTTGTTAAAAGATTAATATTCTGAAAGTGGCACTGTGATACCTTTCCAAGCTTATTATCAGAAAGGAATCAATAATTATCAACTGCTATATTTAAACCAACTTACAATATCTAGCTCATTAGACATCAGGATCTAGAAAGCTCTTCCTAAGCTACTTAAGGTTTTCTTACACTAAGCTTTATATGATAGAACTTTATAGAATTTTTTAAAAAATAATATAAGTTGGCCTCAGGACTGAGAATGTGGGACCTGAATAAATTAGCTTTAAATACATCATTAAAATCTTCCGCACAACAAGCTTATTAGATTCTAGTTGGCTCCTTTGGAATGCCAGTGCTCCTACACGGCAGGACACACTGGAAGGTATCAGCAGTGCCCAAGTACAGTGGGCTTACGAGAAAGGACCCTTCCCAACCAGACAGCCAGTAGACAAGAAGACCTGCTCACCCCCTCTCCTTCTAACCTCTGCTAACCCCATCCACCTCCCAGAGAGAGGAAGCTGCCTACCACCATTGTTTTGGAAAAAATATAAGCTTGAAATGTCCTCCCTGGTGAGGGCATGAGATTGGGGATCTTCTGAAAAGACCCAGAAAAAAAAAAGGCTCCGTTCAAACACAATGTTCTAGGACAATGGAAATAGAAATATTGTCCAAAATTATAATTTAAAGAAAAAAAAAGTTTAGCACTGTGTAAAGTAAGTGTTGACTAAGGAAGTCCCCCCACACACACACACAAAAAAGGTGCTGTCACTTTAAGTTCTGGACTTGGGGTTGTTTGTCGTTGTAAACAGCAAAGCATTTGTGTTTGTCTGTCTATCTGTAAAGCAACCACCTTCCTATTGGAAGGAGAAAAAACTTGGGGGTACATACATGTAAATATTTGCTGCAGCATTTAATATGTTTAATTTTATGTTAAGCTTTTTGTTGCATCCTGAACACATTTATTGTTACCAATGGACAATGAGTTCATTAAGACTGTTGGACTAGGTCAGATTTTTACATCTCTTTCTAGCAAGAAGAGACAAGATTTTGTGCATTTGTACAAATGTTAATATCACTGCAATTCCAATATAATAAAGCACTCAAATGCAAATAATATATGTAACCTTCGTATGATGAAATTCGGGGCTGGGGTTAGTGATATCTGTTCCTCACATATTCTCATTCAGGCCTAGGACACCACTGCTTACCCTTTTAGAGTCACCGTTATCTAAGGAAAGGAGGAGGTGAGAGTTCTCCTTTCCTGATGTTACTATGTTCCCACTTTCATCAACTCTCCAGCTATTTTAGTCAGCTTTTTGGCTGCTGTGACTTAAAGACCTCACAAGACCAATTTTAGGGGAGGAAAAGTTTAATTTGGGGGCTCACAGTTTCAGAGGTCTCAGTTCATAGGCAGCTGACTCTATTCCTCAGGACTCAAGGTGAAGCAGAACATCATGGCGGAAGAGTGTGACAGAGGAAAGTGGCTCACTTGCCAGATCACTTGCCAGATACAAAATATATACCCCAAAGGTACACCCCCACAGAGGAGCCACCTCCTCCAGTCACACTCTACTCACCTCCAGTTTTCTCGCTTAGTTAATCCCAATCAGTTCAGCCCCTGATTGGGTTAAGACTCCCATAACCCAATCATTTCTCCTGTAAAACTTCTTGCATTGTCTCACACATGAGCTTTTGGGGGACACCTCATATTCAAGCCATAACACTAGCTGAGGTCACATCTAATACATCTGTAGTGGGTTGGCCACATAACTTCATTTCACTATAAGAGTTTGGGACTGTCACATCTTAACAGGCAAGAAATACAAGCATCCCAGTCTAGATCATATTCCTGTATGTCTAGGAGCCAAGGATCACATACTAGTAACACAGACAATCGATTCCTGGAGTTCTTTCCCTGACTTCCTGAGAAGCCCTAAGGGCGGTGATAACCCTTTGATGTGTTCTAGACACATCCCTCCTTTCCTTCCTCCTCCGACTTTCATTCCTTTATGAATTTTTTAGTCATTCTCCTTTTTTCTCTTATTCTCATGTCTGATCTGTCAGCAAGATCAGAATCCTAACTATCATTTAGCAGTACTATTATGACCTGTCTCAGACATCAGTGTGTCTCACCTGGATCATTACAATAATTTCCTAACTGGTAGCCAGAAGGAAGATTTGATAACGGAAGTCAAACCCTGTCCCTTCACTACTCAAAACTTGATAGCGACTTCTCATGAAATTCAGGGCAAAACAAACATCGTTACCACCGTCTACTTCAAGTTCTCTAAAAGCCCTCCATGACCGACCTCACCCCATTAATTCCCTAAACTCATCCACCATTTCACTTCCCTGTCCACCGCTCCAGCTCCATGATATAACCTATGAAGTGCCTCCAACATCTCAAGCACCATCTATTTGAGTCTTTTCACAACCTGTTCATTCTCTCTACTCACAGTTTTCTTCACCCACCTATAGCACAGCTCACTCATTCAAGGGTCTCCCTCTCTCCATTGAGACTTTTCTGACCATCCTATACAAAATTCCTTAGCCCTCGTTTTTCTTTCTCATTCCATCACCCTCATTTTTCTTTTTTTTTTTTTTTTTAATTTTTTATTGTGGGTTGTTCAAAACATTACAAATTTCTTGACATATCATATTCCACACTTTGATTCTAGTGGGTTATGAACTCCCACCTCCTCATTTTTCTTTTTCATTCCTTCACCTTCATCTTTCTTTCTCATCTTTCCTATAGTGCTCTTCACCATGTAACACAATGTGTATTTTGTTGTTATTTTTATGATCCGACTCACCCAACAGAATGTAAACTTTATAAGAGCTGAGGCATTTTCAATTTTGTTCACCCCTGTGACCCAAGCTCTTGAACACTGGACACATGACAGGCACACACACAATAAAAATTTGTGGGAAGGATGACCGGTCTTTTCCCTTTTGTCCTCTTTCTTACTCTCAGAATATCCACCCACCTGGTCCAGTGGCCAGAGCAGCCATATCTTATAACCATATACCAGGGCATGTCATCCAACACATACACAATTGCAATACAACATATTTGCAATTGTGACAGAAATAATTTGAATGAAATGAGTGCTTTTCTGATGCAATCCTTCCTGTTGCATTTGCATTTAGGCTCTTCACCATTCTCATAGTTCCCAAGAAAGTCTTTCTAATATCCATCCCATGCTCAGTTACAGTTTCAAAAGTCATTTCTATTGGTTAAAAAAAATTATGATCTTAGATTTATACTTTGAATATAGACAACTCTAATCTTTCTACCTTTCATCTCATGTGTCTCTAATGTTCTTCCACCTTACACTTGGCTATTTGCAGTTGGTTATTGGTTGTTAAATGGATGGCGTTTTAATTTCCCATTACATATTTTCATATTCAACAAAAGCGGTTTTTTTTTTTAGTCAGGTCTACTTATCTTGTGTTTAGGGACCTTCAGACCATCGCACATCACATAATAACATTTCAGTCAACAATGGACCACATATAGGATGGTCCCATTAGATGATATTGCCTAGTGATGGCGTAGCTATCCTAATTTATTTAAATATGCTCTATAACATTCGTACAACAATACAATTACATCATGACATGGTTCTCAGAACATATCCCCTTCATCAAATAACACATGACTATATGTTCATTGTGAGATGATAAAAACATGGAGCTTCTTCAGGGACTACTTCCTTTTGACAACTATAGATGACTTTTTGAAGGGACTGAAAGGATGGGTATCTATAACATCTGAAAAATAGTTGTCTGTTAGATAGTGGACCTAGCAAAAACATATTGCTGAAAATGGTTTTATATATAATCCCAAATAAAGCCATTGAAGTCTTTAGTAACCAATGTTTCATCTTGTGTGTTGTCTGTTACTGCGTCTTTATTCACATCACATTGGCTTAGTGCCATTAGAGGCTGAATTGGCAGAAAACTTCCACAAATCTCTTGAAAGCAATATTACTACAACATAGACCCAATAGACCAGGAAAAGTCTCCTGTAAGTCACTTGTCCTGGTACTTTCTCAGGGCAGCAGCCTACATGTTCCTTTAAATGAATAAAATAAGAAGATGCTACTTCATGCCTAACACATTCTTACTCCTTCATTCTCATTTAGCAAGAGAATCTAAAATGGTTCCTATTGCATTTACACAATCCACCCTCTATGATTACATTATAAGTGGAGCATTCTCTATTTAAATTTGGCTCGCTCACTTTGATCTTGATTGATTTACTTCCTAGACCAACTGGATTTGCTTAAAGAAACAGGAACACTGTCCAATAGGCTCAAATGATAGAGGATGTCTTATAAAGACATAACAGATAGCTCATGGAGCCCAACTAGGTTCTAGAGCAGTTATCAAAAGGAAGCCGCTGGAAAGTCATAAATGGCTCTTCTCTCAGACAAGCCCCATAGGAACTTATTCTGCTCCATTTCTGCTTTTCTCTGTGTGAACTGGTTTGTATACTCACTCAATTGCTTCTGGGTGGGCCCACCATTTCTTGCTCCAAAATGATGGCCTCACCCACCAGCACATCTATAGTCTTCCAATTCAAGGTCTAACGCCAATCCCTGAGGTCACCATCTTTTTATTCCAGTTCTGCAGGACAGGAACTGATTGGCCATATTAGGCAGGTCCTCTACCCACTGCCCTGAATCCCATCAGCTCTGTCAGGGGAAACAGGGTTTCATGTGTTTGGAGCTTCTTGTGAAGAGATAACAGGATTTCCAAATAGAAAGAAAATGGTTGCTGAAGAGAAATAGTTGGTATTGCTTAAATTACCTCATAGAAATCTAGTCGTTTGGGCTGAGGATGTGGCTCAAGTGATAGCATGCTCGCCTGGCATGAGCAGGTCGCTGGGTTCAATCCTCAGCACCACATTAAAAAAATAAATAAAATGAAGATGTTGTGTCCACCGAAAACTAAAAAATTAATATTAAAAAATTCTCTCTCTCTCTCTCTAAAAAAAAAAAAGAAATCTAGTCGTTTATTCTCAAAACATACCAAGAGATCAAAGTACAGAGGGGAGACCAGCACAAAGTCAGATTAGAGCAGATGTTAACAAATACTTATTGAATGAATGGTTAATGAATTCTTGTTCCACTGAAAGCTTGGAATTTAAACAAATATTCATTGAAGATTAGATAATGGTAATTTTATTAGGCTATTTTTTTCTAGATATTATGACCCAGCTTGTAGGCCTTAAAATTCAAAATATAAGCATTAACCATCAGCAAAAGGAAGATTTTATTTTGTCACATTTTGTAATGGTTTTCTACTGTCTGACTTTAAAATGACCTTACACGTATTCTTTCCAAAAAAGATCATTGCTGTATTTTTCTTTTAATCTCATAGTTGATTCCAAAACATTTGTATTTGCAAGGATATTAGAATAATATCTCTCCAGGATAAGGTTAGGAACCACCCTTGTTCCCAAACTTCTTTTTAAAGAAGTCTCTGTGTCAAGAGAACAGTATGGTTCTTCTCAATAAGCCTGCAAGAAAGCAATGCTAATTGCTCCAAAGAATGGTAGCATGAACTTAAAAGGGATATGAGTTTAAAAGTGACTACTACAGCGACTGGGGTTGTAGCTCAGTAGAAAAGCGCTTGCCTAGCATGCGTGAGGACCTGGGTTCAATCCTCAGCACCACATTCAAACTGAGAATGTGTGGGAAAGGTGCTCTCCAGATAGACAATAAATAAATAAAATAACGGTATTGTGTCCATCTGCAACTATTATTTTTAAATTACTGAAACAATTGGAGTAAAAATTAATATTTCTGTATTTTAATGCCAAATTGCCTATTGATTTCCTGTGACCTTAAGCCAATGCCGATTTCCATATGTGTCTTCTGTGTCAGGACAAACTCACCCAGGGCTAAGGTGGGAACAGCTTCTATAGTGGCTGTCTGTGGCACTCCACCCACAATCACTACCACTTCCTTCTCTGGAAAATTTCTCTTCCCAACTCCATCCAACTGGCTCCTGCAAGAAGTTCCCATGACCCACCCTTTGGCTACAGGTTCTTGGTCTAATACTCTTCCCTTAGCTCATTATGCAACAATGAGTCCCAGCAAGGAGCT